TTTCCTAGAATAGCTTGTTTATTTTCTCTCTGATAGGCACTACAAACACAGTGACTGTCGGAGGTTATTTTTAGGAGAAAATACAGTCATCTGAGTGAATTTCAGGGTAGGAAAAAGAGCTAACATATAGCTAGAGCTACTATGCTCTACGGACCTTAAGTGTAATCACATTTATTCTGCACAACTCAGACTATGACCTTGTCTCACTGATGTTTTCATACATAATGAGCCAGATGTAAAAATGTACAAGCTAGTCATTATCACTCTCATTAATCAGATAATACAAACATTCAGAAAGAGTAAGAACTTACATAAGGCTGAATTTTAAAATCTTCACAACTAAAGACAGTTTTCCTTGTGCTATTTGAAAATTTCAGTCTTCACGTGTAATTTTACTCAACAGTTTGTACAGAGCATAGGTAAAGCTACAGAGTGAACAGCCAATTAGCAGATTAAAAGTTTCCTTGTGTAATCTGTTAAACTTGGGTATAAACTGTTATACTGTTTATAAACTGTTATACTGACACAATAACTATGTAATCATTCTAAGTAATAGACACCTCTAGCAACAATTGTCTCTACTATTCTGATGTCATAAAGAGCTCCCCTCTGTATCCAATAGTCATGGGCTTTCAAGGATGTATATTCTTCACCATAGAAACTTAAATCATTTCCTCAAGCTTGAGCCATGAGGTAATTAAAAGCTTATGAGTTATATCTTTGAACAAAAGCAATCAATATTCTAGAATTAGAAGCTATTATATAACAAGATGATAACATTTTAAAATTTAATTTTCTTTACACTGTATTATTTTATTTCCTTTCTTAATGATTTTTTGAAACTTTCTCCATGAACAGTTTTCATGTTTATTTTAAGGTTTAAATGATCTATTTTTGTAATATTTCATATGAAGGTGCATTTACCTTTAGGGCTCAAAAGAATGATAATCAAGTCAACAGACCTCAAGTAAATGTATAAGGAGATCAATATTTTCCATGAGAAGAGAAGATATGCAACTTCATAACCCAATCATTTTTATAAATAAGTTGTAATGATCGGTCACAACTCAGATGGAAATAATTCCACATTGGCAATGAGTTCAGTGGCAATGCCTTCCTTCAAGGGAGAAACAAGAAGGCATGGGCTACCCTGAAACACAAGGCAGTGAGTTTGAAGAATCTGCAGATATTTAGGTACACACTGGTCAAGCTGGGCACTGTCCAATTTTTATGTCACATTTTTCTCTCTGCATAAGGATATTTTATTTTATGTGTTTTTTACTCTACAAGCCATGTGGCTCTTTCATATGTAATTACTGAATTTGATCCTTAGACAAGTGAAATTTGGCTGATCTATTATTCCTATTTTCTAAGTAAAGACACTAATGCTCCAACAGTTTAAATAATCTTCTCCAGATTACGTAGTTGGTAAGCTCTGAAGCTGAGCGTCACCTCTCAGTTCTGCTGGTCTGATGACTTCTCCGGGAGAGCAATATCTAATCATGACTCTAATTCCAGAGAGGCAGTCTTTGTCACACTTCACGGCCAACATCAATAAATCCACAAAGCTAACACACATTCATCACCGTTCTACCAAACACACATTGCAGCCAATTTCTAAGGAACTAGACATACAGTAAATGAAAAATATGTCACATGCCCTGAGAACACTCTTCAATAAAGATGAGCTCTATGAACAAGTCTCCTCACCAGGTCCACTCACCTCAGAAACTCAGGAGACACAACCATTAGACATTTAGTGAGTAGTTGTGTATTCCAGACCTCAGGTATCTAGGTATAGACACCCTAGTTAAATGTATTTAATCCTAAAATGCATGACTGAAAAATAGCTACACTCTTCTATTTCAAATATAGTTTTCATGTCTAAATCTCAGCTATTGTGCTATCATTTATTTACATTAACCTGTTTCATATTTAAGAGATATGAAGGGATGAGGTAACCCTGAAAAATAGGCCAGAGTGCTCTAGGACAACTTAAAAAAAATAAGCATCAAAGAGGTAATCATTGGTTATCCCTATCTGAGGTGTTTATCAAGAGACAAATGCCAAAAAGTTTATATAAACATCTTCAAATCCAATTTCCTTAGCTCTCCACAAATAAAGAAAAATCTTTTGCATTAATAATTACTTACAGTTTCCAATAGCAAAGCTATAATTTATTTGTTTACTGAACAGCATTTATTGTATCCATCATGTTATAGGGAAAAGGTAACAGCAGGATAGCCCTATCCTGTTGAGCAGCTCCTTAGAAAGAAGTAAAAAGAGTACCTCCATCAACACAAAACTGAAACTGCTTACTCATTTAAGCAAAGCTCAACTGCCCTAGGCATTTGTAATATATCAAAAAAATAAATGTTTTTATATCATAAGTAATGAAAATTGTTTTTCATATTTCCCTTTAAGCAATGTGATGCCAGTATGTTGATGCTTCTTAAGTCTCGCTGTAACTCACCAAATTTTGATCTCACCCTAACTAACAAAGAGAAGGAAGTCTCTGGGGACTTCACAGCAATGACCTCAGTGTTTTCCTTCTTCAAACCTTTGCTGCAAACATAGCTGGGAGGGCAGATATGGATTCAGCAAACACAAGGTTACTTCCGTTATTCTTAGCAACAGAGGTAGTCTGAAACCATAAAGAACTTTCCCCTTGGGAGTGCCCAAAGAAAATAAAAGCTAGCCTGAAGAACAAAGGTTGTATTAGATTGCATTTTGGCTATTCACCAAAAGTCTGTATCAGCCAGAGTTCAATCAGGGAAAACAACTCTAAATATTTTAAATAGAGAGAAGGTGATTTACCAGACTGGTTACACAGGGGATAGAACAGTTGGGTGAAAGCTGGAGATGATGAAACCCCTAGAGGTTGGGAAATTAGGAAGCCACTTCCACAGCTAGGAAAAAGGCAGAGAGTGTTACAAACAGTGCTCTGAGCGGGTCATGTAAGGGAAACAGGAGCCAAGTGGAGCTTGTCCTACCATGGAAGGCGAGCCATGGAGGAGGAAAAGCTTGCAGCACAGAGGAAAGTAAAGGATTACCTTGGCTTCTCCCCTTTCTCCATCTTCCATTCTCCAGGAAATACATCCTGGGGGCCCAGTATTGGACTGCAAGGAATAGAGCTCAGGCTAAACAGACTCAGATAAGCAAAAGCTTATGACAATTCACACCTTTTTTCCAGAATCGAGCTGCAGAAGGTTCAGATTTCAGTGTTGGCCCGGTGAGGTACAGTGACATCAGCGAGCCCAGGCTAACCCCTCTGCAGAGGAGAAGCAAGTGGAGGCCTGCAGTGGAAATTAGCTGGTTTGTGAGCCCACATTGTATTAGCTGGTTTGTGAGCCCACATTTAACACCCACAACAGCCTTTTGTTCACAGGGTTCCCAGAAATCTCTGAGTGCGATTATACAGGAAGAAGGAAGAGGGTGTGTGAAATGTCTCTCAGTATTTAAGGATACAATGTTAATGAAATTTCAGTTATCCCCACAAATAGGAACCAGCATTATTCAAGGCTGACTTTATCTACAAAAATTCAGATTATTTTGCTTTCAAGTTAACTAAAGCTATATACATAAAAGGTAATTATCACTTCTACATTTTGAGAAATTTCTACCTGTCATGTAGAGGTACAAGATCCCAATAATGAATGTAACTGTATTGTATACCTAAAATGTAGCAATAAACTCAGTGAGGAAAAAAAAAAGAGTTGAGAAATTTCTGCAATGAATATTCATTATTTCTATTACTTTCTAGTTTGTCTTTTTTTTTTTTTAACACCAGGTACCATAATACATTCCATTTAAAATTCTTGATGCTTCTGTTTTTCTGGGTGGCTAGCATCTGACTACCTATTCAAGGAAGTTTAGCAAGGACTCATCATCCGGAGCAGTACAAACTTAACTGGACTCCTTGTCAAAATCGAGCATACAGCCTTGACTTGAGGCTCCCCTGAAAATATTCAACCAAAAGAAAAGCTCTGATCAAGGCAAGGAAATGTTCCTTTCTGCTTGCCTGAACTTCACACAAGCTTATTCCTGATTGTAGGCCTCTGATCTCCCTTTGCTTAGATCAATTTACTTCACAAAACCTGTGATTGCAAATCCTTTCCTGCTTCCTTTGAAGTAAATCTCTTTAGAATACTGGACAAAACTCAGGAAGTATTTTTCTCAAAAACCTTGAAACCATCTCTTTGAAATGTAATCATCACATCCAAGGAGGTCACTTCTCTTTCTTCTAGTCTCTATGGGAGAGGAAGACCCTTATGCCATGCTGAAAAAAATACTGCCTTCCAAGGAGATATAGAAAGTTTGCTTTTTCCTTTGAGACAACCAGTTAGTGACCATAAGTAGCCAATATTTTTCCCACCCCAGGTCTTAAAAACTTTGCAGTGAGAAATCTTTGTAAACTCACCTCGTTACCCGCAACATCCTATCCTCCAGGGTAGTTCAGTGGCTCTCGCATTCCAACGGTCTCGAGTAAGTTTCCTTTGTCAGTTTAACTTTCTCCACTTCATTTTTCACTTTGCCGCTTTCCAGCTTCTTCCCTTACCCATCCTGTATTTATCATCTGCAATGCTTTGTTAAAAAGAGAATTATGGTTTTCAGTTGACTTCCTCATCTCTGCTGGAATCTTGGGGAGATCAGTTAAGTCAGTGGTGGTGAACCTTTTAGAGCTTTCAGTGATAACAAACAGCCCATTGCAGCATGCGTGCCATAGATTCGTCAGCACTGACTTAGATTTGTGTTTGTAGGATCTTGTGTAGAACAAGCTGTACTTTGTAAAATAAGTTTCTTTACTGCCAAAATATCTCCAATTAAGAAAATGGTGTTGAGCTTCATTCTCTCCTCTCCTGTTTCCATCTTCCTACACACAAGCACTCACGCATGCACGCACGCACGCACTCACGCACGCACTCACGCACGCACGCACGCACCACCTCTGTCATACTTGGAAGAAGTGTGCGTCTTTCTATTTTATTTAAAGAGGACACTTCCGGGTTGAGACACATGACGACTCCTGAGACAGGAAGGTAGGGAGCATGGGCAAAACTTTCCGGGAAAGGAAGAGGACAAAGTCCAGGAACACCTGAGCCCAACAGTTCTCAGAACCCTGCATTTAGACTTCCGCAAGAGAACTTGAGCAGATAGAGTGACCTGGAAGTAACGTCGGCATGGGAAATGTAAGAAAAACAGTGACAGCCACCACTTGCTATCATTCCTCTTCACAATGGCCCATTCTACAATGCAAGGTGAATTTTTATTTTAAATCCCCCCCTTTTTACTCAGCCCAAACTTACTCCGCAGAGCCTGGTTTTCCGCTGTGCTTCTGTTTTTGTCCTACGTTTAGTAAATATGAAAACTTGCCACCATTTATGCTTGTTTCATGCAGTCTGGGACAGAAAGGGCATAGAAACTATTTCCTGAAAGAGACTCCAGCACTCAAGAACCTGGGAACAATCCCCCTTCAGGAAAGGGCTCTACTTAGCTGCTAGTATTATACACAGCTAAGTTAGACAGAAATTAATAGACAGGGATTAGGCCCTCAACAGAGTCATCGCAGAAGATGAAGACACATCGAAATTGTGGCTGGAGGTGAATCTCTTTGAGGGCCAGGCCTCAAAGTAGAGACAGATAGCCAGGCCTGCAAGTCCCCCTAAAGATGAACAGCAACTTGAGATTATACTATAATTATATATAATATACATGTATATTCTATAATTATATTATCCAACACATAGGTAGGTGAGCAGGACATCTGGCCCCATCCTCCTATCCCTTTCTAAGACTGCTTTTGTTCTTTCTGTTAGAAATTACAGATAAGCTAAAGTTAATGATGTATACTCTTTCTATGCACCTCACTTCCTTATTGGATCAATATTAGCTAAGCGACTATTCTTGTAATCCTATTGGTTGATTGTAGCTTGACCTACCTTGTACCCACACTGTGATTTTGCTTCATAAAATATTCCTGGAGAGAGAGCCTCTGTGGCAACCACTTCAGTACCACTCCTGAAATCTCTCAGGTTCCTCTAAATAAACTTTTCCTACTCTTAACCTCTTTTGTCCCTGAGATCCGTTCTTCAATATTTGGGTGATGTGAATTTAGCGTATCTGACATCTAACAGGTTGGGACTTATTTTCTCCACCACACTAGGAAGGCTACTCGTGGACAGCACCAGCTCCTTCAGCTACCTCCCCTTCAAAAACCATCTCACTGCAGAAAGTGCTACTTCCCAAGGCCCCTGTCCATTCCATGTGTTGCAATCTTACCTATTGACTGTCAGGTACAAGGGAACAGCGGAGCTCTGAGTTCAGTTCAGGATTTATTGCTTTAGACTCTTTCAGCTTCCGCACTCCCAGAGAATTCGATCACTTTGCTGGGACTGGGTCATAGTTCAGCTTCTCCCTCTGTGCTTCCTTCCTGCTCTCTCTTTGCTTCCTTCCTCCTCTTCTCTAGGTGTGGCTACTTCACAGTAAATATTCTACTCACTACAAGGTCTCAGACTCAGCTTCCCAGGAAGTGGAACCTGCCATGGCATTGTTAGGAGGATAGAGTCAAATGTATTTTAATGCCCAGCAGAATCTCAGAAGTGGTAACCAACTAAAAGCTAAAAATGATGACGTGCTGATTAGTGTTGGGTGCTTTAAAAATACTATTTAATTCTCATAAAAAATTACAAATGGATATTTGCATTCTCCATTGTTTTGTGGTGAGAAGACTATTCTCAGAGAGGACAAATTGCATTGTGGTTTTTCTCATCAACTTTACCCATGTAAATAAGTAGTTTGCCTGAGATAGCACCTGAGGACTGGGTGATCATGTTTCATCCTGCTGTTTCACGATCTACAGCAACCTCGTATTAAATGATTCAGCTTTTTAGTTGAGGGCCCCCCATAGTTAGAACTTTTGGAAGTAAGAGTATTCAGAAGGAATATAAAAGACCTTCAGGTGAAAAGAGCACATTTAAGAACAACCAGTGAAAAGTTCAGCTGCCTCCTCCTCAGCATTTCTAGGATGTGCTCCCTGCTGAGAACAGAGAAAGGTTGTCAGGTCTATTAACCTCAGCCATGTAAATAAGGACCCAGATGTTCTCATCTAAAATAAAATCCTCCCCACCAGATGGTCAGGTTTAGCACATTGGTTTTGAGACTAAATTTCCAAACAGCTCATCTGTATAACAGCAGAATCAGACAGAACAAAAAAGACTTCAACCAGTCTATTTTATGGGGCTTAGGTATTGGTCCCAAGAACGGCCAGCAGATAAGTAGGACTTACCACCAATGCCAGAATCCGTGCATCAGAGCATTTTTTTTCATTTTTTTCAGCTTTAATTGAGTTTATTGGTACATTTTAGGGATACAGTACAGTTACATTCATTGTTGGGATCTTGTACCTCTACATGACAAATCTTGGTTCTCATTTTTTCCCCTTGTCCCTGCCCTCCCTTCACCCCCTCCTCCCCTCCCCATCTACAAACACTTTATTTCCATCTTTTCATTATCTCACATTTTTTTCTTTTCCCTTTTTACGTTTCCCCTACCCATCCCACCTTCCCTACACCTTTAGCTCCTTTCTTCCCATTTCTAAATGTCAGTAATCTTATTAGGATCTTCTGTATTATTGCAGATTATTCATACCAGAGAAACTATTTGGTATTTACACATGTGTGCCTTAACTTTTTTCCTTTTTATTGAGTTTATTGGTACATTCTAGGTATACAGTAAAGTTGCATTCATTACTGGGATCTTGTACCTCTACATGACAGGTCTTGGTTCTCATTTTTCCCCTTGTCCCTGCCCTTCATTCATCCCCTCCTCCTCTCCCCATTTACAAACACTTAATTTACATTTTTTTCATTTTCTCATATTTTTTTCTTTTCCCTTATTACCTTTCCCCTACCCTTGCCAATTTTGCTACACCTTTAGCCCTTTTCTTCCTATTTCACATTGTTAATTATCTCATTAGGATCTTGTGTACTATTATAGTTTTTCACACCAGAGAAGCTATTTGGTATTTACACATATGTGACTTATTTATTTCACTTAGGAGTATATCCTCAAAATGTATCCATTTTCCTATGAATGACTCTAATTTCTCATTCTTTTTGGCTGAGTAGCATTCCATTTTATAGAAAAAACACATCTTTATCCAGTTTCCAACTGATGGGCAAATGGGCGTTTCTAAGTTTTAGCTATTACAAACTATGCTGCTATAAACATAGGTGTGCATATATCTCTGTGATATGATTCTTTTAATTCTTTTGGAAAGATACCCATCAGCGGGATGGCTGGGTCAAATGGAACCTCTAATTGCAGCTCTTTGAGGTATCTCCATGTTGATTTCCATAGTGTTTACAGCAGTCTGCACTCCCACCAACAATGGAGAAGGGTTCCTTTCTCCCTACAACCCTGCCAACATTTGTTATTGTGTGATTTCTTCATAGCAGCCATCTTTGTGGGGTGAGGTGGAATCTCAGTGTTGTTTTCATCTGCATCTCTTGAATGACCAGTGAAGTGGAACATTTTCATATATTTACTTGCTGCTTTTACTTCTTTGTCTGAGAAATGTCTGTTCATTTCAGATGCCCATTTTTGAATTGGGTCTTTATATTTGTGGGGGCTGAATGTTTTGAGTTCTTTATTTATATTCTACATAATAGTACTTTAAGGAGCAGCTGGTAAAAATTTTTTCCCACATTGTCCTTTAGTTCTGCTGATGGTTTCTTTTTGCAGTGCAGAAGCTTTTTAATAAGATGAGATCGCAGTTGTTGATTCTTTCTGCTAGTTCCCATGCTACTGAGGACTTGTTTATAAAGTCTTTTCCTATGCCAATGTCTTCCAGAGTTCTGCCTGTTACCTTCCAGAAAGTTTAGTGTTTCTGTTTTAATATTTAGAGCTTTAATCCAATTGGATTTTAATTTAGTGCATGGTGAGAGATAAGGGTCTAGTTTTAATCTCTGGCAGGTTGAGATCCAGTTTTTCCAACACCATTTATTAAAGAGGCTATCTTTTCTCCAGTGGTGATTGTCAGCTCCTTTGTCAAAGTTGAGGTAGCTGAGTATATCTGGAGTTATTTTTGTGTCTTCCAGTCTGTTCCACTGATCCTCAGGTCTATTTCTTTGCCAGTACATGCTATTTTTATCACAGTGGCTTTGTAGTATAGTTTCAAATTGGGAATTGTTATACCTGCTACCATGTCTCTGTTGCCTAGGATGGCTTTTGATATTCTAGGTCTCTTATGGTTCCAAATTAATTTTTGGATTCTTTTTTCTTGTTCTGTGAAATACAGTGTTGGAATTTCAAATGGCATTGCATTGAATCTGTATAGCAGTTTTGGTAGTATGGCCATTTTCACTATGTTGATTCTTCCTACCCAGGAGTAGGGGATATCTTTCCATTTTCCATTATCCTCTTTGATCTCTTTTTTCAGAGTGCTGTAGTTTTCAGTGTAGAGGTCTTTTCCTTTTTTTTTTTAGGTTGATTCCTAGATAGTTCATTTTTTTTAATGCTATTGTGAAAGGAATTGTTTCCCTAATTTCTCTCTCAGTGAGTCTGTTATTTGTGTATAAGAAGGCTATTGATTTTTGGGTGTTGACCTTGTATCCTGCTACTCTGCTAAAAGTGTCAATTAAGTCTAGAAGTTTTTGGAGGAGTTTTTTGGGTCTTCAATGTAGAGTATCATATCATCAGCAAATAATGACAGTTTAACTTCTTCCTTTCCTATCTTTATTGCTTTAATTTCTTTCTCTTGTCTAATTGCTGTGGCTAATGTTTCCAAAACTATATCAATGCAGAGTGGTGATAGTGGGCATCCTTGTCTTGTTCCTGATTTTATCGTGAAGATTTTCAGTGTTTGGCCATTTAATATAATATTGGCTGTTGCCTTTTCATAGATAGCCTTTATTAAGTTGAGATATAGACCATCTATTCCAATTTTTTGAAAGGTGTTTATCATGAATGGGTGGTGAATTTTGTCAAATGCTTTTTCTGCATCTATCGAGAGGATCATGTGGTTTTTGTCCTTGACTTTGTTAATATAGTGTATTACATTTATTGACTTAACGTATGTTGAAACATCCTTGCATCCATGGAATAAATCCGACTTGGTCAGGATATATGATCTTCTTGATGATCCTCTGCATTCTGTTTGCTAGTATCTTATTAAGGATTTTTGTATGTATACTCTCAAGGAGATTGGCCTGTGGTTCTCCTTTTTAGTTGCATCTTTCCCTGGTTTGGGAATCAAAGT